CAGAAAAGAAGAGGCGAAACACTCACCCACTCATGCCTCTGAAAACACACTGCGCTCACGGCCAGCCCTGTTTTGGTTTGGACGTCAACCCGGAGAGCTCTCCCTCCCTGGGCATTTTTCAAACCATCGACACCTGCTTGCCGACCCCCTCTGATGCCTTCCTGGGTGTTTGATGCCTTTTGATTAGCTGGCGATCCCGGCTCCTCTTAATCGGATTGATGGAGCTTCAACCCCCACCCCGCCTCCACCCCGCTCGCTCGCATCACCGAAGACGTTCAGGAACCAAAGGGCTGCGGTTGCCAAGGGAAGCAGAGCGGTTGCTAGGAAGGCGCACGGGTCACTAGGAGATTGGAGCGAGTTACTAAGCATCCCTGATCAGGGGAAGGCTCTCGCATGACTTATGTTCTGCGCCGGGTGGCTTCCTCTGGAGGGATGGCAAAAACAGGGCCAGCAAACCTCATGGCTTTCTTGTTGCGGCCTTGGGCACACCATGCATCTCGGTCCCCAGCTTCCAGAGAAATCAGACGGCAAACCTCACCGTTTCCAGCCCCCCCCACCCATGGCTGCTGATTGCAGGCACCTTATCCATTTAGAGGGCACCAGCTCAGGAGACTGATGGAACTAGTATTCCTCCCTCTCCCCCTTCCCACACCCCAGTATTACTTTGCATTTCCTAATTTCTCTTCGTCTAGGTGCAAAGTTGAGCCAGGGAAGAGCATCTGAACATGCTCACTTTCTCACGCTCTGGAACTGTCACATCTGCTTGAAAAGCAGATGCATCTCAGTGCATCTGCTTTTCAAAAAAGCAGATGCTCTGAAGCACCAACAAGAGTCATCCTTCCAGCAGGAAACGTGGTGTGTTTCTAGCAGGTCGGAAGCTTTAGCAGAGGCAAGAATGGATCCCAGCGCCACCTCTGCCCTGGCCCACAGCCTCTGGCGAGGCCCTCTCAGCCCACTCTGGTCTGCCTCCTGACCAGAGTTTCCCTCCCCCACCCCAGTCTGTTTCTGCTGAACTCCCAGACTCACCCCATGCTCCTCACTGCAAAGCCAACCCCACCCTTGCTCTCCTTCCACAGAGAACTCAATGAGGAGAAGGAGCTGCTTCTGTGGCCCCCCCACCACCACCTCTTGGGCTTCCTACCTCTTTTCTACCTCCTGGGTCCCAGGTTGCTTTCGTGGGCTGGGGGGAGAGCCCAGGAGACCCTCGGCGGGGCCGTGCCAGCTCCTCTGCTCCTCTTGGATTTCATGGTCTCCTTCCACTAAGACCTGCACCTCTGCTTTTCCACAGCGAAAGAGGCAGCCTAAAAGACAAAGCAGCAGAGTGACTAGCTTCTAGACCTAAGGGGAGCAAGGATTTTTTAAAAAAACCTGATTTTTGAAAATCAGTCTTAAAATAAAGTTGGATGTAGCCAAACCCACTTTGCTAATAGAAAGAGAGCCCCTTTTCTGTTGCTCTTCGGGGTGGACTGAGTGTCATCTTCCAGCCATGAATGCAACGGAACACCAGTATTCAGAATATAATCAGAAATCTCGGGTTCATTTTGCAATGACATGATGCAGAGGCAGCTTTTCCATGATAGCAGACTTGTGCCCATGTGGGTTGTTTGGCTGATGCCTCGACACAGGACTAGCATGTAAACAATGAGGACTAGTGCTTTGAGTTCAATTGTCCTAGAAGAATTTTCAAGAAGATCCAAGGGATGACAGATGAATGACAGGATGAGAGCGTTTGAGTTGCTAAGCCTCTTTTCACAACTAATAGGATGGGCTTCACAGGATGTGTGGATTCTTTCCACAAATATGGGTCCATAATGTGGTGGGTTTTTGAAAGGCCAAGCCTAGCGTTTACCGTGAAGTGCAAGGTAACAAACCATTTATGCAGCACCTGTTTGAACTATAGAAAGACAGCGTGACCCAATGAAGCACTTTAAAGACCTCTCCGGACCCCCGCGAGCGCTTTAAGAGAAGAGCAAACCTTATTTTTTTCCCCTCTAATCATTTATGAACTGTACCTAAGGAGCTGACCCGATGAAGCACTTTTAAGACCTCTCAGGACCCCCGTGAGCACTTTAAGAGAAGAGCAAACCTTATTTTTCCCGTCTAATCATTTATGAACTGTACCTAAGGAGGACTCCAAGACCACATTATTTTCAAAATTCAGGGTGGAGGGGAACTTTCAGGAGAGAACGAGGGATGGACAAAAGAGGTGAGTGTCTGCTCACCCTCTCCTTCCAGGCCTCCCACCTCTTTCCTCCCAAGTCACCGATCAGCAGGCTAGTCCTCATTGATCCTCTGGTCCCTGCCCGGCCCCTTCCTCTGGTGCTGCTCTTCTGGGACCCTGCAGCTTCTCCCGCCTACACAGGCTGGCGCTCCTCTCCCAGGAAGTTGCAAGTGGGCAACCGAGCTCCTGCCCTCTGCACCCTGGCGCTCCAGATCCCCTACGAGCAGGCAGAGGCTGAAAGTGCCGCTGAATTTGGGTGTCGGTGTATTAGACTCTCTGAAGTCGGAAATTCATTAGGAAGCTTAGATTAGGAGCATTTAGTTACCAAGACAGGAAAGGGATGGGGAAGGGCTGCCTGACCTCAAATGACCCCGATCGTCTAGAACTGCAGGCACACGTCTGACAGGGTTCCCACCATGTGGAGAACCAGGGCCAGGGTGTGTGTGGGGGGCACTCCCGGGGAGCTGTCCGGGGTCCTGCGCCTCTCAGCTGGGCTCACCCCCGCCGCGGGCCAGGAGGGGAGCACTTCGGGCAGTTGCTGCCGGGGCGTGCCCTTCTCCCACGCATGGGGGGAGAGGAGCCACACCCAGTGCTCTTCGGGGGGGGGGCTCAGGATCAGGCCCACCTGCCCTCCCAGGAAGAGGCTTGCAAGCAGTGCTTGGCCCCTCTCCCCTCCTCTCCTGGAGCCCCTGCCGGGCAAGGTGCTGATGTCAGACCACCAGTCCGCTGAAAGTGCCGCTGAATTTGGGTGTCGGTGTATTAGACTCTCTGAAGTCGGAAATTCATTAGGAAGCTTAGATTAGGAGCATTTAGTTACCAAGACAGGAAAGGGATGGGGAAGGGCTGCCTGACCTCAAATGACCCCGATCGTCTAGAACTGCAGGCACACGTCTGACAGGGTTCCCACCATGTGGAGAACCAGGGCCAGGGTGTGTGTGGGGGGCACTCCCGGGGAGCTGTCCGGGGTCCTGCACCTCTTAGCTGGGCTCACCCCTGCCGTGGGCCAGGAGGGGAGCACTTCGGGCAGCTGCTACCGATGCACGCCCTTCTCCCATGAATGGGGGGAGGAACCAAACCCAGGGCTCTTTGGGGGGGGCTCAGGATCAGGCCCCCCTGCCCTCCCAGGAGGAGGCTTGCAAGCAGCGCTCGGCCCCTCTCTCCTCCTCTCCTGGCAAGGTGCTGATGTCAGACCACCAGTCCTGGAGCCTTAAAACTCCTGAAATGGGTAGCCTGTCCCAGGGGTAAGAGCAAGGTCCAGAGAGGGCAATGCCCCAGGCCCTGTGGCCACAGAGGCATCCTGTTCAAGGGGTGCAGGTCAGGATGGTTCCAAAATCTATTGCTTCACTGGTTTGGCCTCTGAGCTGGCATCCGTCTGGCTCCTCACCTCCTCTGTCCAGGCAACAGTCGGAAGCCTGAGACATTCTGCCATGGTAGAGAGTTCCATCAGAAAAAACACACACACACGCACAAACTAGTATGTTGTGACTTTTTAAAAAAGTTAATTTGTGCCTTTTGGGGGGGAGGGTGTTTGTAAATCTTACCCCAATCTAATGGCCTTTTATTAAATCAAAGTTCCCACTGGAGACAGCAAACGTCCATCAACGGAGGTGGTTCTGACTTAAATGATTAGAAGGCATCACAAAGGAAGATGGCCGAGAATAGGAGGGTGTGTCCTCCTGGCCCCCCTGGAGATGGCTCCCCCCCCACCAGAGGCCACTGTCTGGTCATCCTTGACCGCTCTGCTCTCTTTGGCACCCCAATCGATCATCTCCTCCTCCTCCTCCTGGGCACACCTCATGCCCTGTTTCCAGGATTCTGCGGTCTTCTCTTCCTCTTTGCCTAAACAGTCCTTCAAACTTTCCATCATTCCTCCATCATCCTCACTTCAGCCCCTGGGGGACCTCACGTGGATCTATTCTCAACCCTCCGCTACTCGCTACCCTTTTGTATCTCCTCAGACCTTGCAAGGCCTGAAATCTGCACCCTAAACATTTAAACCAGGCGTTCTGGACTCTTTGGAGAAATTTCTTGCATGGAGAGGTCCACCTTTATTGGGTAAAGGTGGCTTCGGTGCCACTGAACCCTAGTCCAGGTTCCAAACTAAGCTGCCATCATTGTAAGCCAGATATAAACGGACTTCCCTCAAAAACAATTTGAGCGCCTAAGACGGCTGTAATCATCCTCCATTTCTCTGTAGGGGGAAAATGCTTACGTTCTTTAAAAAGCTAAGCAATGAAACTCTTCTCATCTCAGGTTTGGAATGCAGCTTTATTTCATCAACCTTCCCCCTTTCCTCTGGCAATCAATCAATCAATAAACCAAACAAAAGTGCAAATCCTTTTCTTCCTGTTTAGACATGCACCCTCAGTGTAGGATGACTGGGTTTGTAAAAAGAGGCCACCAAGGTCTTCAATGTCTCTTTGTCTCAGAGATACTTAAGCCCCTTTGCACCCTGAAACAAAAGGAGATGGGAGGTTAAGAGAGAAAACACCCTTTCCGTTGCCAGAAGACAGGCAGGCGGGGTCGCCTGGCGTGTCTGGGTGTGAAATGCACCCTGCCTCCTTCAAATCCACCTGGGGAAGGGTTTGCGGCCTGCCCACAGCATGCTGCAGGCAGACGACGGGGTCCAGGAGCGCTGGGAATGCACTGCTGCTTGTGTTGCGGGCGGATTGGGCCCCGGGTGTGGACGAGCTGAGATTCAGCCTCATCAAGGGCAAAGGCAGAGGAAGTTTCAAAGAGCTACAAGGGGCAGGTCTCTGAAGAGAAGAAGCAGACCATGAGCCACGAGGCCAATTGAGTCCTCTCGTTTGCTGGCCTGTGATGACACAGTGAGGGACATGTGCATTTCCTTGCCTTCACTTGCTGGGAAGACACACCGCAATGTGTGACTGTTAACTCAATTCAGACCCTTGCATTTCTGGATTATAGTTTTTAAAAATTGTAAATGGTTCAATGGGGGAGGGGTCTCAAAGGGAAGACTGGCTGTGTTCCTCTACACAGATCAATGGAAGATGTCTGTGGCAAATGAATGCTGTGAATCTCTGATACATTTTGCTTATTTTACCAATTGATTTCCATCCCCCGGTGTTTTTGAGGTGCTGAAAAAGGTATGGCTACTCTATGCAGTCAAAAGCCTTCAAGGCATCCAGTAACTAGAGTGCAAGCTATTTCTGTTTCTTCTTACTGCCATAATTATTGTTATTCTTCCTAAAGTGTTGGTGTTAGGCAACGGATGACAAGGGGCTTTTGGTACTTGTATTTTGTTGTTGATTAGTCATTTAGTTGTGCCTGACTCTTCGTGACCCCATGAACCAGAGCACGCCAGGCCCTCCTGTCTTCCATGGCCTTCCGGAGTTGGGTCGAAGTCATGCTGGTCGCTTCGATGACCCTGTCCATCCATCTCGTCCTCTGTCGTTCCTTTCTCCTCTTCCCCTCACACTTTCCCAACATCAGGGGCTTTTCCAGGGAGTCTTCTCTTCTCATGAGATGGCCAAAGTATTGGAGCCTCAGCTTCAGGATCTGTCCTTCCAGGGAGCACTCAGAATAAAAAGTAGGAAACCCCAGGCGAAAACAGCACGCTGGGTGTCCGCATCTTTTACATTCACAGTCTGTTGACCAGCCAGCCTCACTGATTTCAGCCTCCCTTCCTGGCGTAAATCCAGGATTACAGGACATCTGTTTTCGGAACCGAGCTAATGCTGCAGGTTCACTTGCATCAGTCATCATCACCCCAAGAACAACAACGGTAGCAGAACAAAAAAGCATTACGGAAACAATGCAGGACTTACTTTCTTGTCCGGGGCCCATGTCCGTAGCTTGTGTAGTCTGTTAGGAGGAGGAAGAAGGAAAAACAAAATGTAACAAAAAGTCAATATTCTCCTCTCCCAGATGTCTATGTTATGGCCTCCAAATAATGCTGATTGCTCAAACTTCAGAACTATTCCCATAAAAAACAAACACCTAAAATATGAGCAGACTTGGTTTCCTGCCACACTGACTGAACTGTCCAAGGGGCTTCCAGAGTTTCATTTTCCTTCTGAGGTCAGAGTCGCCCACCATGAAACTGTGCATGCTGAAGCCCCTTCGCTCCTTGTCTACTACTCCCGTTCGATGCACCTCCTTTTGGCAAAAAGATTTTCTCTCCTCCCAATGCCAATGTCATTCCCTTTCTGGAGGATCAAGAGCCGCTGTTCTGAAACCTACAGCGCCCGCCCTGCTGGAAGGGGTAGTGGAGCCATGACAAGAGGGGTCCTCAAAACAGGCCTGCCAGCCCTAGCCCTGTGGGGGTGAACCGGACAAGCGGAAGGAAACCCGGACACCTGCAGTCCTTAAACCAGGACATCTCCATGAGTGTATCGGCATCACACAGTTAGATCCATTTGCAGGGCACCATCCCAGGGAAACCTGGGATCTGCAGTTTGTTGAGAGTCTTACAATTCTCTGCTGCCCTCGCATGAACCACCAGCACCAAAGTGCTCTCGTGGGAAATTTCTAAGTACCTTCCCAAGCTGCCAGCAACAGGATTCCATAGAATGGAGTCATGGCAATTCCAAAGCCATGGCGCTGCTATCATCAGGTCTATATCAAATTCTATTTTAGGCGGCATGAAACAGAAGCATCGTCTCCACTGTGTGGCCAACGGTTGCACAAGCTATTCAACCGAAATGTTTTGTAAAGGAGTCTCAAGTCTCCTGTGAAACCCTTGGATAGAGATATCCAAAGATCGGGACCGAATAAATTTGGTGCTCCAAATGAGATGCTCCTCACCATCCGGGCCTGCTTTGTTGGGGTCACAGGTTGTGGCATGACTTTCTCCAGTCCATGAACAAACCACTCGAAGAGGCTGTTGATCAAGCGGAAGAGATTCATTAGCATCTTCTTTGCATGGAATGAAAGGAGCTGAAACAAAGCAGAATTAATTGTCCCTTGAAGACCCCACACGGCAGCCTATCCAGACCACATCTATATCTGTCTCCCGCTTTCTGTCTGTCTGTCCCTCCCTCCCTATGGCTCAGAGATGGCAATTCCAGGTGTCTCTTCTTTATGCATACAAAGTTAGAAACAGCTCAGTAATCCACCACCCTTTGATGGATGGTCCTTGAACCAGAATCCAGACTTTTTCCCTATGCATTCGTGTGAAGACCACACAGACCCCGTGACTTAGCTTGCTGTCAAGCCCATAGAGGAGAAATTGTGTTTGCAAGCAAAGATGTCAGGTAGTTTCAAGGCAAGGAAGTTTAAAAGAGCAGAAAAGGGAGCTCAGCTCCTTTCCCACTGAAACTGGCCCAAGCAGAGCATGGGCGCGTCACTCTCCCGCCACGTAATTTGAAAATGAGCCTGCTTTGGGTTTTGATTTCGTAAGACTTAACCACAAGGTTCCTTTGAAGTCTGATTTCTCACTCTTGAATCGAATGGCTTCCCCAACCACATTCTTTCAGCTCTCTAATCACGGAGCATCTTATAACATCTCATCCGCCTTGCTTCTCTCCAGGAATATTCAGAGCTGAATAATCTCTACATACCCCTCTCCCCTCTCCCTCCCTCCCTCTCTCTAGTTTCCTTTATACGTCTTTGAATTTATCCTTTGGGGAATGACTCTTTATCTGCCAAACTGCAGGGCCAGGCCTGGATTATCCCCCATTACATGGTGGATCTTTCCCACCTACGCTCTTGACTCACGAAAGGAACTGTGAATTTGACACACATGAACAGCGACAAGTGCGTTTCACAACAAAAGGCATTTTGACCGGACAAAACCGCAGGAACGCTCCCGAGATGTGCGCGTTTTTACCTGCCACCGTCACCGCCAAGCGTTCGGGGGAAAAGGGAGATGCTGAGGCTGGACAGGCTGACAGCAGAGTCGCAGGGTTTCAATCCGGGGTCGCTGGGAGGGCTGGGCAGGAAATTCACCTTATATGACGTCCTTGGTTTATTCTCTTTGGAGTTGGTTGGAAATTGTGGATGGGGAAGAGGGAAAAATGAAACTATGTTCCATTCCAGAACCATATATTATTGTGTTGCTATTATTTTTTTAAATGGTCTACAGTAACAGAAAATGGACAATGCAAATGTTCACAAAAATATTTATCAACAAACCATCAGCCAGGGTGGTGGTGGTGGTGGTCTGGTAAAATGATGCTTTTCAGAACCCAAACAAATAGGAAAGTTTATGAACGACCACTGTGATTCTCCAAAATTCTCCCACCCACTCACCCACCCAAAAAGTTGGGGGGAAGCCACCCACTCTAGAGCTCCCTCAAAAGCCTTCTCCAGCACTTACCCATCTCCGCAATCTGCTCCGACGCCTCTTCCTGGTGCAGAAATAGAGAAAGAAGAAAACGAGAGGCTGAATTCAAGAGCCCCTCACATGTCTTTGTGAGGAGCAGCAAATGATGAGCACAGAACAACCACCGTTCGGTGCTGGGCAGTTTGGAATTTGGGGGGGGAGGCGGCAGATGGACCCCCAAGTTGGGTGTTAAGCAGACCAAGAGGCAGAACATCCAGAAGGCCGAGATCTCAACACAAAACCAACATCTTCAGGTCCTTAAGCTGAAATCAAACCTGCCTGCCTGCTACAGAAAGTTTGTTTGTTCATGATTCTTATTTATTTTTAATTAATTAATTAATCAAATGTTGTTATTTCTCAATAACAAAACACTTTGTCTTACTTGTCTGTACTTACCTCCATCCGTTTCAAGTTCTCTGGCTTAGGAAGCATTTTTCCAAATCCATCTTTCAGCCACGATAACATTTGTTTACTACCCCTTGAAAGAAATAGGGGGGGGGAAGAGAGAAAAGGATGATGATGATGTGCAGAGGGCACCATAGCAGGACACTGCAGCCAGCTTCGCCTCTGCCTGCCAAGCATATCTTAGCTTGTGCTCCCTGCACCTCCTTCCCCTCTGGCCTCACGGTTTACAGGTCCACCTTCTCTCTCTCTCTCTTAGCTTGTCCACCTCTGATGGAAGTTGATTCAGTTTCAGAAAATGCCTCTGATGGAACCCACCGCCTTGGAATGGGATGTCATCGCGAGCTCCTCTGCCTTGGCCTGACTACCAGGTCTTCTCCACTGCCTTCCCTGTCGGCATTTTCTTGAATAGCATTGAAAAAGCCTATGTTTGTTTGGGTGGGGGGGAGCTCACGTTTTATCTGGAGCATTATTATCCGAGCTGGACTGCAGTTCACTCAGGTCCTCTTCGTCAGGCTCCAGCACCGTGACCTCTGGAAAGGAAAACACAAGATGTGTTTGGAGAGAGGCTTGCATGCCCCAAAGTCCGGCACAGAGGAGATGATGCACAACATTGGCTGCCCTGGTCTTTGCCCTCAGCTGGTTCATCATCCCACGCTTCCACTAATCTTTTTGGTCAGTCTCGTACCTGACGGGCAAGTTTCCTCCCCTGATGGGAGCTATACAACCCAACCCATCTGGGTCCGCACTGCAAACACCTAATCTATGCTGACGGCTAGTAAATCTCAGGAATCTTAGGACGAGGTCTCATCCAGCCCTTCCTGGAGATGCCAGGGTTGAATCTGGAGCTGTTCCATGCCAGCCACATGCTCTTCCACCAAGCTCCATGGCTGGACATCCCCTCTTTCTCCTGAGTCTCCACCTGACCAACGCAGGACAGATGAGGATAAGCCACTAAGGACTGAACTAATCACACCCCATAAATATGCTTTCTTTCTTTTTTTTTTTTGAAGACAGCATTCTCTGCAGTGAAATGGTGCGGATGACCCAACCATCCTATAACCACAGTTCTTTCTGGAACCTTTGCTCCCCCTGGTGAGCTTTGCAATTAGAAGCAGAAATGACTTAATCAGGAAATAGCTCTGATCATCCTTCAATTATCTTTTACAACTTTACAAATGGCAACTTCTCTTGCTTTTGTTTGCTGACTGGCCGTCAGGAACATACAAAGTTCACATGTTGGTTTGGCAGCTTTGAAGAACTTGGGAGAAGGGATAGTACGTTATCACCTTCCAGCTGGAAGGAAGGAAGGAAACCCATGAATTCAGCTTTCATGGCAACTTGTTCTGTAGACCCTCTGGTTCTTTTAATGGGCCAAGAAGTGGAACTCCGGAGTAATGGGCATATATAAGATAGAATATGACTAGAACAGAACTCAGGTGTTCCAAACAGGGGCTGTTCCCAGCTAGATCAAGGCACAATGTCTGATGTACAGGATCCCACAAGAAGGGCACAAGCATTTTACCCAAGTCATCGTCGTCCAATTTTATACTCTGGAGTTCTGTCTGAAAAGAGAGAGAGAGAGAGAGGTGTTTTTTTTTAAAGGAAAGAAATCAGACTTAAGCCCAAAGACCAAGGAGCAAAGACAAAGAGGATACGTCTCTCATCAAATCGTATAGGCATAGGGAAAAGAAAAGAAAAATGGAACACAAAGGAAAGGAAAGGAATCTTGCAGGCCAAGAGAGTTGTCTCACTAGGAAGCCTTCCAGGACAACCGCCTGCCTCGGTTCAGAGGCAGAGAGTGTTTATATGCAGGCTGCAGGACAAGGGCAAGCACTGAGTCTTTCTCCCTTTGCGCGGGGGGGGGCAAGGGGACTGCATCTGGATCCAAGCCGCAAGACACAGACTGGCCTTTACGAAGGCATCCAACCCCAGCTTCCTCTCTTTCGAATCCAACTGTAGAAACACTCACCACGTCCGGGATGTCGAAGCTGGCCTCGAAGCTCTTGCCGCCTGCCTGCAGTGCGAGGGGGGCGACGGGGGCGATGGGGGCGTTGTGTGCCGGCTGGGGGACCACCTTCCCCAGACCCTGAGACAGCCAGACGAGGACGCCCTGACCCACGCTGTGAAGAAACGGGAGGGGAAACACTGCGGAAAGAGCGCAAGGAGGTCGCCTTCCCTCCTGACCGCCAGCGTGGCTCAAGGGGAGGCCTGTTAGGGACCCTCCCCAGCCAGCAGGGCAGCTCCAAGAACATGGGTCTTCTGACCTGAGAGGGTCCCTCAGGATCCCACGACCATCGGCTTTAAGCCACTCCTCTCCGTGACTGCCTAGAGGCTCCCCCAAGCCCCCCCCCTAAACTGCAGGACACAGACCTCTCAGCTACGCGGCCCCCAAAGGAAGGACGGACGGATGGGGCAGCAGAGGAAGACCCCAGGAATTCATCTTTGCCGCTTCTACCAGGTCAACTGATGCAGGTCTTAAATCAGGCAGGAAGGTGGACTGTTACAGAGTCTCAAGATTTTAAAGATGGTAAACCTTCTGCCTGGAAGCGGGAGGATTTCTCAAAGAGCCACCCCACGAGCACTGGGAGGGGGCGCATCCTTCGGAGAGCCTCTCCTGGGCATCGGCTCAAGCCCTTGCCAGGTTGTTAAAGAAGATGTGCAAAAGGTCTCAATCACAGACTTGAGCTCTCCGCGGGACAAAGGGCCACACAAATACCCAGCCAGCGTTTCGTTTCTCTTCCGTTCCCTGCTTTGCACTAATTCCAAGGCTCAATGAGTGAGTGATTTGTAGGCTCCCTCAAGGGAGGTGTGGGAGACACCCCCCCAAAAAAAATCTGCTTTGGAAGGGTGACCAAGCTCCTCCAAAGGCCAGCGCCTGCATCCAGAGGAAGGTGGCTTTCTCCAGTTGCGACATTTCCTCCCTAGTTCGTTCAGCATGACTCCAGAATAAGCCACGCACAAGAAATAAATAATGCCTCACATTCCAGAGATAATCCTGGGGACGCAGGCGCCTCTCCTCAATGGGTTTTGACCATGACACACTTTTTACTGCTACTTAAGGAGGGAGCACGCCTAAGAACGGGTTTCTGCTGATGCCACGCTTTCTCTTGAGTCAAGAAGTGAAGACATTTCAGAAGGAGACCTTGGTTATAACAACTTTTCAGCCCTTGAGTGAGAACGGAAGAGTTTTATTCTAATGAGAGAAAGAAGTTGAAACAAGGGAGTCGTGTGGAAACAGCGTTCCCCTATAAAACAAGTGCAGGTACCTTTCTGTTGTTGATACTGCATCGTGGGACTCCATGACCTCTACCTTTTTGGACCCTAAAAAGAAAGCACAATTAAGGTAAAGACTGAATCCTACCACTTCCGATAAGACATTTTTTTCTTTCTTTCTCCACCCTACAGTCGCAGAAACTTTGCAACTGGGGGTGGGAGTGCTTAGAGGCCTTGTTCAGGATTCTGCTCTACAAAGGACTATTTTACCGAACAGAATTGCTTGCTCGACGGATCAACGCCAAAGGCTAACTCACGATTGTTGTTATTATTATTTTGGCACGAACTTCCATGGGTTGCATCTGAAGAAATCTATGAAACCTCACATCACTTGACCCTGTTTTACTGACGCCTCATATAGCTGTACCTGGTAATTAACTAAGATGAGTATCTTACCTTGTTTTCCCGAAAATAAGACCTAACCTGAAAATAAGCCCTAGTATGATTTTTCGGGAGGCTCGTCATAGAAGCCCTGCCCCAAAAATAAGCCCTACTTAAGTGAAACCCCGCCCTCCACCCTTGTGCAGCCACCAGAAGATGACATGATTGTAAAATAAAACATCCCCTGAAAATAAGCTCCAAAGTGTTTTTTGGAGAAAAAAATGAATATAAGATCCTGTCTTATTTTCGGGGAAACACGGTATTAGGCCCCAGCGAAATGACGCGAGCCTGGATGCCGTTGCTTGTCCCAGTTCGGGCAGGCCCATCGAATCAATGGGTCTGAGAGAAGGGCCGACTGGCCGGTGCTGGCTTTGGGGGGCTGTGCTGGAAGAGGCTTCTAAGCGGAGGGCCTTCCAGGTGGGAAGTGCTCCCGGGCTCTCCCCGTGAAGCTGAGAATTATGGGCTTTCGCTCATAAACAGTCCGGCTTCCTTGGGCCCCCGTGGCGGTGAGCCAGCCGATGCCACGCAAGGATTTGTGCAGGACAGCCAGCAGGCTGACCACAGGTTAGCAACTCCTGCGAAGGGGTCCCTCTTCCGCTCCAGCCCACCATCAGAGGCAGGACTGGGAATCCTCGCTGACCTGGAGGTGACCAGGGGAGGGGAGGGGACCTGTTGCTCTCCGTGGGCAGCAGGAAGGAGGCATCTCTTAAAGACCAAGGGTGGAGACCCTCCCCAAATTGAAACAACAACAGAGGGCACAGGCCCTCCGAGCCTCTCCTCCCGTGCGAGACACTTAGAAGTCCGGTTGGACGCTCCCAGGCAAAGCGTTGTGTGACGGCCGGGGTGAGGAAGACATGCTGAAAAAACTTTGCAAATGGTTTGCATCTCCCTGAGGAGCAGGACGGTGTCCTTACAACTTTTCAAAGCAAGCAAAGAGGTTCGGAAATAAATAGGTCTCAGGACGGCAGAGCTGGGAGGGACCCTACAGATCACTGGCATGGTGGGGAATCTCGAACGCCCACCGAGCTCTCCAGGAAACCCATGGGGTTCCTTCCTCCCACCTCCCTCCTTCAGGGTCCCTGGTGCCTCTCACCCCTTCTGCACAGGGACAGGATTTTAAATGTGCCTATCCACACCAGAAGAACGAGGGGAAGAGGATGGGGCGGGGGCAGCCAGAGTGGTCCTTCGGCAAACTCTTACCTGCCGCAGGACTGCGCGTGCTCCCATCAGGCGGCTTTGGAGAAACGCAAAGAGAGGAAAGAAACGCATCAGAGGCCACAGCCCATCCGGGGGACCCGTCCTCTACTTGGAGGCCAGAGACCCCCACGAAGCTGCCAGCAGGCGTTTGTGGTGATTGCCTTCCGTGAGCGCCAGCTGACCAGACAAGTCAGGCCTCCTTCCCGACTGAGCCCCGTAAGGAGGCCAGAGAGTGGCCGGAGGGGGATCGGCACCCAGGGGTCCGGCCGCCTCCCCCAGCCCTGGCCTGGCGCCCCGAGGGGGTCACGATGGCAGGCACTCACCTGTCCGGCCAAGGCCGCCCTGGCGTCTGGGGTGGCCTGGGTGCCTTCCTGCATGATCTTGTGGATGGGGGAGCTGGCCGGAGGCTGGGGCACCACTCGCTCGACCCAGCCCAGCATCCTGCACCTGCGGGAAGGACCCCGGGATACAGCCACGGGGGAGATCTGGAAAAGACCAAGGAAACACTCCCGGTGGAATCGCCCACCCTCATCCAACAGGGCCCCCCCCTCGGACTCTCCTGGGGGGGTGCGGGAGGCGCTCTTGGCTTAAAGGACCAGGCGTGGAGGAGACGTCGTCTATGGGTTCCTCTACTGGTTGGAGGGCCTTTCCTTAGCATCGGTGTCAGCATGCAAACGCCCCCCTCCCGTCCCTCCCTGGAATGAGGGAAGTCCCTGGGAATCCCTGTCCTGTTTGGGGGTCCCCAGACAAGGGGGCCAAATCTCAGGATCAGCGGTGCCGGACGAGAAGAACGCTTGACCCTTCCATGTGGCTTTCAAACCACCTCCGCCTCACTCCCAACCTCGTGGGGTCCGAGAACTGTCCCTGTGGGATCCCAGGGCACCTCATGGAGACCTCAAGCTTCTCATACTCCACTCCCCACTCTCCACCCCCACCCCGAGCAATGTGCTTGGCACTGAACAGGTCCCCAGTCCTCATGGCGCACTCCCTCTGGGGCTTCGCTCGAAAGCTGCTCCCTATGGAGCCGGACCAGGATGTGAGCCGGCCCCAGCTCTCCCGAGCATCAGGATGGCTGTCGGTGCAAAGGGAGGATCTCTCAAGACACCCTTCTCGGCGCCGGCAAGCCCAGGCGGGCCCCCACAGGGGTCAGAGAGCGCAGCAGGCCTTTCCCACCACCCTTCTCCCTCTCCCGGAACAGGAGCCTTGGGGGGGGGCGCATGCCCTGAATATCAGCCCAAAGGAACACTCACCAGCAGCAAGAGCAGAGCCCGGGGTGGGTGGGGGTTTCTCCTCTCTGAAGGAGGGGCCCTTCCTCACCCCAAAGGGGTCCCGGGAGAACAGAAAGATGGGGGCGTTTCTCCAGGAGACCTGGTCTTCGGCCCCCCTCTCCTGCTACAAAGGCCTTCTTCGATGGAGAAACCGGGAGAGGGATTAACTGAGGGTGCAAATTGGATTAAGCCAGCGGCCGTTGTTCTAGAATCCAGACCCGTCTGTCCAACTCAGCAGCACCCAGACGCGCGGGAGAGGCCGGGAAGGGCCGCTCACCCTCTGGCGAGGAAGGGGCTGTGGGTCCGCAAACGGGAAGCCGGACACGGAGGATCCCCCCCACCCCCACCCGAGCAGGTCGCCGCGGATCCTCCCAGGCTGAGAAAGCAGGGCTGGATGCTAGTGGACTCAGCTGAGCCACCACCTGCAGATGCTCTTAATTAAAGGATGATCCCTTTCTCCCCGCCTCTGAAGGGCTGATGGGATTTGCCTGCCACTGCCCCTAATCCCCAGGCAGAGGCCACCTTCCCCAGAGGCGGCGGGGCCACCCAAGATCATCCAGAGGGTCTCCCTCAAGGGCCGCGGGAGGGTCGCTGGCACCAGAACCCCAAACCGCCTCTCTGCCGGCCACCCTCCTCTTGAGGGTCGCCTCCTTTCTCCCAAGGAGGCCGGCAGGAAGGGAGGCCTTGGGGGCAAAGCTGCTTAGTGGGTGGCCGGGGAGCCTAACCTGCGCGCTCAGCATGCACACACCCGGGCCACACGCGCAGGCAGCCCTTTGGCTCCAGGGTCGGCACCCACGCTTCGAACGGGGAATGCCCCTTTTGATGCCATTTGGCAGTCCCCAAGCAGGGGTGGCACACAGCTCCCTTCCGCACGCAGGGGAGGAAGGGCAAGCCGCCACCGGGGCTCCGGCCGACCAAGGGTGCAGAGGGAGTTTTCGGGGTGCCAGGCGGGAGGGCAGCCTGCCTCCCCCTCCTTACAGTCGCCCCAGGAGAGAAATCTTTGCCCTAGGCCTGCGCTGGAGGCGACCGAGGCCTCTGGAACGCTCCTTTGCCTTTTCACATCCTTATTGGGCATTTTTAAATAAGAGATACCATAAGGGGAAATGTAATGTTGACGTGGATTTTGAACGGCATATATACAAGCCCTGGTCCTTGGCTGCCGGACGCGTCACATTTCCCTGGTTGGGAGGGGGTGGTGGTGGCAGAGGCAGGACGGTCCAGGGTGGGTGCCCCCTGCAAAGGGGCTCCTGGGCTCCGGGCCCTTCCTTGCAGGCTGTGTTGGCTCCTGAAAGAGCTCAGACTGGACAGCGCTCGGCTCTGATGGAGGCCACCATTGTTCCCGTCACCTAGCAACCTTGCCCTCATCATCACCCAACATCTCCTTTGGATATTGGCTTCCCGTTGCCATGGAGAAGAGGGGATCGGAGACTGCCCACCCCGGCTAGCCTTGCAATGCGAAGCTGAGAAACTGGGGAAAGGACCGCCTGTTTCAAGGAAGAGAGGTATTCCGTTTTTTCTCTTTCTCGGCCAGCCTTGTGGGGAGGGGGCCCCCCAGGAGGAAAGCCAGCGTGGCCCGGCTGCCCTCCGGAGGAGCCGTCCGTGGCTGGGCCTCTGGCCATGGCAGTTCCTGCAAAGGCAGGGTGGGAGAGGCTGGGAAGAACAGGAAGGCACATCTGGACAGCCCCTGGAAACCTGCCTAAGCAGCTATTCCATCAGGGAGGGGGGATTGTGATGGTAATTCAATGCAAGTTTCAGGGGGGAAAGTGCTCCGAATCCTCTTTTAGGTCAGTGGTTCTCAAACTGGGGTCCCCAGATGTTCTAGGACTGCAATTCCCAGAAGCCCTCACCACTTGCTGTGCTGGCCAGGATTTTGGGGAGTTGCCAGAGGCTGGGGGTCTCGAGTTTGAGAACCTGTTTCAGACGACACCGAGAGGTCGGTACCAAAATCTGAGACCAGAGGAATGGGGTTTTATGGTCTCACAAAAGCAGGACAGGCTTCTAAAGATTCAGCCCGCCTAGTTTATCTTTAGTTTACTATTTTTTTAGTCATTTAATATGTTTTTCCAGAGTTCTTTTTAATGCAACTTTTTTAAAAAAGCCTTAATTGTTCTGGTCAATCTGGGCAGCCTTGATTTGAACTAAATACAGTGGGGTCTTGACTTGAGAACTTAATCCGTATTGGAAGGCGGTTCTCAAGTCAAAAAGTCTGTAAGTCAAGTCTCCATTGACCTACAGTGCATTGAAAACCGATTAATCCCGTAACAGGCCGTTTTTGTTCCATTTTGGTTTTTTTCTGGTCTGTAACTCAAGTCTCAGGCTGCAAGTCAAACCTAAATTTTGCGGCCAGAGAAGTCTGTAACTCAAAAAGTCTTTAAGTCAAGCCATCTGTAAGTCAAGGGTCCATTGTATTTCTAGGTTGGCTTGTGGTTGGAAACCAGGAAGTGATCTGCCTGCTTGAAGACTTCTGGAATCTGTGAGGTGAGTTAAAGTTAAAAAAAGAACAAGGAAGTACAGGATTAGAATTTTTTTAAAAAAGGCTGAATAAAATACATAAATGCTAAACAAGGGCAAGCAAAGCAAGGTTAAGCTTAAAACAGCCGCAGAAGTGCTGGGAAAGGAGGTGGAAACGACACCACTGAGTTTTGGGTAGCAAATTGCAACCCTTCTGGGCTCTTGTCTTTTGTTTTGTTTTAATTTACCACTTGGGGAGTTCTTGGAGGGCCAGGGAATGCTGAGAATCACAAGTACGGTTGAACTCTGCAGGATGCTAATCCCTGATGTGAATGCTTAGGACGAAGGAACGCTTTAAGGGTAGCGCATCAAAGAGGCAGTGGCCCTCCTCCGTTCAGAAGGAGAAAATACTGTAAGCCATGAGGGGAAACTGGGAGAGCAGCGATTTCTTGCTTTCAGAACTCCCCAGCAAACAAGGGGCCTTTTTCTTTAGCCCATTTAAGGGTTGCCCGCTTCCAGGGCGGAAGGCTCGCTGCATGGAACGCTGGCATCTTCTCCTGTCACACTGGCCACGACCCGCATCATCTGCAGCGTGTCTAGGATCCAACTGCTGTTACAATCCTGCAAAACGAGGAACAGGCCAGCAAGATTTTCCACCGATGGTGGCTTTGCTGTTCCCGTTTTTGTTACCAATGCTGAACGAGACTAAGAGGGTAACTTGACGTGTCTTTTGATTTAGCTGATCATGGCCGCCAGGGCTCAGACTCTTGACCTGGTGCCATGGCCTCCAGATGAGAATCCCATTTACGCCTCTCCGGCCGTCCTGATTCCACTGGAGCCCAGGAGGGTCATGTTGGCCGGAGTGAAGGACCACCTCTACCACCCCTTCTTGCCGACATTAAGGCGAATGGATATGGACACCGTGGCCAACAAGCTGACTGATGAGCACTCCAGAACAGCCACCTACTGTTCCAAAGGTAACGCCAAACGCCAGCCACCGGGGACGCAAGATCAGACTCTTTGCAGGTTTTAAAAAGCATAAAGGGAGTTAAAAGCGCAATGTGTAATTCCAGCCAAAGTTTCTGTTTCAGGGCCCACGTTCTGCACTTCACTTAACGTTGGTTGGCACACGTCTACCTCAGATCCCTAGAAAAGGTGGTGTTCTTTCTTTTTCTTTTTAAATCTTTCTTGCTTGTGTTTTTTTCCAAAGAGCATTTTGAAGACGCCACGTTCACCTTAGCCGGAGTGCCGAACCAGCGCTTTCCATCCCTGGTGAGTGAGTGCTTCCCACCGCCCAAGGTCGCTGCGCCTGCCGTCATTCTGCCGATGGTCCCTTCTGTGGACTGCAAATATCGCCCGACTGCTTTGGTAGCCATGTGGGCCTAAGGAAGGGAGGGCTTGGCACTCCTTTCTGAATGCCAAAGAGACCAGACCCGAGTAGAGTGTCTGAAAAAGTTGGGGTTCTTCTGCAGGAGGCCAGAGGCGTGGCTGTGGATGGGGAAGGAGGCGAGGCTGGCTCCCAGAGACGGGCATGCCTCCCCCCCCCCCCCCCGTGGCCTCCCACGCAGAAAGAGGGAGAGCCTTCGGCGGCTCAGGGGCGCCCCCTGCTGGGCCATCCTGAAAGCACCGCGGCACCAGGCAAGACTGGGCCTTTGAGCACCCTGGACCGAGTCACATTCAGCTGAATGTAGAAAGTAGACGTTTTTAGAAAAATGTCACTGGAAGTTTCAGCCGCTTGACATGTACTTCTTTTAACTGGGGTGGGGTAAAAATGGTGTCAACAAATGTATTGCACTTTCTTACACTTGGCCCACATATGGGGACACAAAAACACTCCCATGCCGTGTTTTTGGCATACGGGGGCCGAGGTCCAGCCGTATAAGGCGTCCCTGGGTGAGGCCCACTGAATCCCTGAGGCAGCTGTGCCACTGCCTCTCTCCTTCAAGCCAGGGTGGTCCCAAAGGCCCGCAAAAGCTCACCCCTCCTTGGCCCCCTGGGGCACCTCAGCATCCCCGTGTCCTTGCTCCACCCAGGGGATGACAGAGTTGGGAAGGTCCCTGAGGGCCAAGCACCGAGGCGGGAAGATGGCGCCCCTCCTGCCCAGCACCAACCAAGAGGAGTGGCCCAGCTACACGAGGGCCATGGACGACTGGTCCCGCTTCGTCTCCATGGCGGGAGAGTTCAAGCTGCCCAGTTTCAGCAATAAAGGTAAGCGCCGTGGTCTCCTGGCGCACCAGCGTGGCCTCTCAGAAGCCCCTCCTGACGGGCATGGGGGGGGGAACGTTTCATTACTGGCAGCCAAAGCAACAAGGTGAGAGGAGAGGAAGGAGGCTGTAGCAGACCAGGGCATCATGGGCCTGCCCACCTCCCATGCTCGCTGCTCCCCCTTCTTCAGGAAACCTCTTGGCAGGCTTACCGGGGGCACCACCAGCCCTTCACGCACAGCCAGAGGGTCCATCTAAAAGAAAATGGACCCTCCAAGCTCAAGTCAGCCCCCTTTCACCTGCACCCGCTTCCGTGCGCCAGGGTCCCCTTCTTCAGGTGCAACCCACGTGGGTTGCCAGCACCCCCACCCCCAGGCTTATCGCTGAGGAGTCACACGGCCCCAGGTTGTTTTTCTGCCACTGACCCACCTGGGTCCCTCTTGGAAAGTCCAACGAGGGACGCCCTTCCGTGAATACGCAGGAAAGGAGGAAGGCAGGGCTGCTTTCCTGTTCAAGGTGGAACTCAGCTTCTCTCACGGCCCCATCAGCCCAGCGCCTGTGGTCTGAGACTCCAGAGGCAGGAAGAACAAGATTGGCTTCCGTTGGAAGAGGGCAAAAGGCTAGGCGGGAGAGCCTCCCTTGTCCTGCTCTGTCCCTTCGCGGCTCAGACACAGATATTTAGAAGGGACCCTTCTCTGCATTTCCAGGCCCCCCCTCAGCCCAGCGGGAGGGAGACAGGCGACGTAGCTCGGGCGCAGCTCTCGAGTCAAGGAGAGCGGCACAGCCCTCCCTTTTCCCCGACCAAGCCCCGTCCTGGGCGTCCCCACCACATTGAGCCTTGGGGCCAAGGCGCAAGCGCTGCACAGGGATGGTGGCCGGCCAGCTGGCCATCCAAGCCGCCACGGGAGGACGGAGGGATCTGAGCTTTCTGTGCTTCCTTCACAGTTCTTGGCTTCAGCGGCTATGCAGTGAGGTACCTGAAACCTGACGTCACACAGACCTGGCGAGTAAGCGTGCGTGTTTGGAGGGGGAGAAGCACAGGTGGCTTTGGGCAGGGCGTGCAGGACGGAACCTGTTGTGTGTGTATGCGTGCGGGTGCTAGCAGAAGCCCTGGTCTGGATTTCTCTACTGATGCGCCTCCAGGGCCATCCCTCTTATCTATGTGGTGATACCAACCAGCCACGTCTAGCTGTTCCTTCTTTCGGTCTCCAACCAGCCTGTGCCACTTTTAGGCCCCTCCCTTGGGGGGCACTTTAAGACGTTTCGCCATCCTAGGAGATCTCAGGGTTACCCCACATCGGCTGCTGCCCCTCACTAAATGGCCAAAGGGCAGGGAATACTGACCCCATGCACTGGGCAGGAGGGCTGGGCACAATAACCCTGTGGGCCCCCAAAAAGAGCGCACTCCGTAGCACCACCACCACCGACCTCCCTGGTACGCCACATTGACTTTTGTCGTTCGTGCTGTGTTCTTTCTTCCGTCCGGTGCCAGTATTGCCTCAATCAAAACCCCAGCCTGGACATATATGGACCCCGGCCCATCCCTTACAATACCGTGTAAGTACCAAGACACTCCCTACCACCACCTCTGGGGCCCACACCTCCCCGGTGGTGGTTCCTTGACTATCCTCTGCCAGGGAGAAACAGGTGGCTTTTCCCCCTCTCTCTTTTGCTCCAGCAACACCTACAGGAGCTTCGGATCAGCGCACAGGTAAGTCACCTCCAAAACCCAACCGAGGGAGGGAACAGAAATGGCTAGCTAGCCCTCCAAGCCCTTAACGGACCAAGGGGAAAACGCAAAAAGATCAATTCACACGCAGTCACTTTACCCTCTGCTGAAAGGGCCCCATCCAAGGGAAATCTCGGGCTCTCATTCTGTTATCCTGGACCAAAGCCAAAGGGGAAGCTTAAATGCTTCACAGCTACATATCTCAGGCTCTCATTCTGTTATCCTGGGCCAAAGCCAAAGCTTAAATGCTTCACAGCTACATATCTCTGGGATGAGTAACACCCCTGCAGGAACTGCTTATTCATGTCACAGTTAAAAGAACGGATGAGAAGGAGGGGTTTGGAAGAAAGGTGAAGAACCCCATGGATTCTCATTCTGAGGGCTGTCTACGCACACCAAACAGCAGACCAAAGCTTAGCTTCCGAGATGCAGCCCAAATCCTCATGATGGGCTCAACAAGATCATTTGCCTGCCATCCTGACGTGGCAGAATCCACCCCAGGTCCCTGCCCTCTCTTGTGCGTGTGTGCGTGAGCAGCCCAAGTCTGCCGGGGGGAGGGATCACTGACCGACTGACTGCCACTGTACCTTCCTTTCTTCCCCAGCCGCTCTCACTACCTCCAGCCCTGGTGCTAGGAAGGAGCCCCCCACCCAACCCCCCAAAAGACACTCCAGCAGCCATACCACAGAAGATCCTCTCCTTCAGATGTTCAATGGCCGTAAAGAATAAAGGCTGTCACCCTCCTTGGCAAAGGAGGAGAGGAGAAGGCATTTCCTGCTCAAGAGATCCATTAAAGGTGGTGGGAAGGGGGGCAAGAGAAAGGGTGGTTCCCTGCTTCCCCCCCCCTCCGACTTTCTCCCCATGCTTGGTTCCTTATGAAAAGATGGCTATCCTGCTGAGGCTTTGCAGGATCCTCCTCTCCTGTCGAGGGGGAGCTGGATCTTGCTGCCTTTTGACACCAGCATCTGCTGATCCAGACACTCTGAACCTGCCGTCCGAGATCCGGAGGAAGCCTCTGCCAGCAGAGGGGTGCAGGCATGCAGGTGGAAGGGGCTCCAGGGGAGATGCTCTGGAGCAGGTCCAGCTGCACCAGGCTCTTCCCAGCATCCACAACGCTGGCAGCAAAGGTCAGCCCGCAACCTCTTCCAATCCACCCGATGGCTTTGGCCCAGGGGTGGTGCGGCCGCCAAAGGCAAAGAAGAATCGTTGGGAGAGACAGGGAGGAGATGGCCGAAACCCTGACCTGGCGCTTTGCTGCTTGCCAGGAGACGGGAGGACCCACCACAAGTTAAACAGGGAAAGGGGCTTTGGCAGGTAACCGGGGGGGGGGTCTGCCTTGGGCTTAAAGGCTTTCCCGATTCCCAGTTTTTGGCAGGAGGGAGGCAGGGAACAGAGGCTTCAATAAAGAAAATGAAATGATCCCCTTAAAAAACAAGCTTCTCTAACAGGTATTGTCACCAGAGGGGAGGGGAGGGAATGCCATTTGTGAATTTTGGGCCTGGCTGAAGGGCAGGTGGGGTTGGTTAGGTTAGAAACCGACCCAGAAGCTCCTTGTGTGTGGGGTAAGGTCGCCCTTGCAAAACTCCGCCTGACATTTCTGCTCCATGCCAACCTGAATAAAACTTTTTCAACTCTCGACTGCTCTGCCAGACTCACATTTAAACATTTGGGCACCTCAACCACACAACACACTCATTCAGGGTGAGATTGCAAGAGCAGTAGAAGTTTTTATTCCACCGTGGGAACGCTTGCTTATAAGGTCACAAGAGGCGGCTTCCGGCCCCAAGGCAGCCCTCTGGCGGCCTGGCTCAAAAACCGCCACGCAGTCCCAGGGCCCAAAGCCACCTCTTCCTTCAACTAGGCACCCAAGCCGTCCTTGGGGGGGGGGGGCGGGGAAGGCAGGCCACCACCCTGAATCGGAGCCAGGCGAGCAAGCTTTGCAAAACCTGTATTTCCCCCCCCCCCATCAGAGGTGGGGAGGGTGCAATCCTGAAGCCTTCCAGGCAAGGAGCAAAACAGCAATGCAAAACAACAATAACAAGGGTGAGACAGTAACAATAACAATAATAAACTGCCCAGGGCCATTTCAGTAGCTGCTCAATCGTTTGTGCAATGAGTGTGAATCTCAACACCGCGGGCGGTTCTTGTGACATTAATGCCACTGAACTGCTTTGACTCTTATTTTGAGCGTTCCCAGACATCTGCCACGGAGCCCAGGGTTGGCCTCCAAAGGCTGCTGTGAACAGATTTGGGGAGCCCAGGCTTTTTTGGGAGGGGGGGGAAGGACCAATCGGGACAACGCGTGGCAACCGAGGCCAGGTCAAAATCTCTGCATCGTGGCTCGCTTTCTCCCGTAAGCCATGGTCCAAACAGAGAAAACATGTCCGTTTCCATCACGTCGCCAATGGAACAGGACAAGCGTGCATTTCCTCTCATTGTTTAAGGAACCAAGGAGCTCTCCCGAAGGACCGTGAGG